CCGATGGATGAATCCTGATCTTATCGGAGCTCTGCTGCAGGAACAAGAAGCAAAATAAAACCTGCTGCTTCTGGTTCTTTTAATTGTTTAGTGATGGAATGAGCAAAGTGGGGCCGCTTGGGTTTAAATAAATCAATAAGAGAAATAACAAATAGACTGCACAAGAAAACAGCTGAACTCTGTGCAGCAGGAGAACTTCTGACTGAAGCTGACCGAGTTCCTCAAAATCCTCAGAGCTCTGAGCTACGAATGCACACGGACGCAGAGATGAGGAAGCAGCAGCCAGCAGGTGTGATGCTGCTGCAGCCTGATTGGTCTCTGACGTCGGCGAGGTCAACAGGCAGGACGTGGAACAAACACAGAACCCAGATCCTGATGAGGAGCTCGCATTTACATACATGAGGTCGTCAGAGGAGGAAGGCCGAGGGCAGAGCTGACCTTCACTGAAGCAGCGACCTGCTCCCTGAAGCTGCAGCTGAACTTCACTCGTTTTATCTTTAATTCTTTGTCTGGTGCAGAACATTCCTCCACAGACGCCATGTTTGTTTACCGTCGTCATGGGAACACTGATATCGCGTCCTTTTCACCTCCAGCAGAGCAAACATCGTCACGTGTTCGCAGCAGGTTTACGGTCTTACGTCAGCCTTTTGTGTTCCAACACCTGAGCTCCTGTTGCACAAAAAGTTTAAACCTCTGAACTCCGAGCAGGTTTTATCCTCACCAAGGCCTCGTTTATCTCTGAAATGTAAAGTCCTGGACCTCGATGGAAACAGCACGGCCTCGGCTAGAAGGAGAGAGAATGTAGAAGATCGTCATGGTTACAATGCCATAAATCAGTTCTTTAAACAGTAAAAACAAAAGTTGAATTTATTTATTTATTTTGCAAAACTTGAAATAATCTGGAGTGAACATGCAAAACATTCCCACAAGTTCCTACAAGTGTTACCGGGTGGGGGATAAAAAGGCAGCTCTACATATTCCAGATGTTCTACGTGTCCTCTCTGATGAAACACTTCCTGCAGTTCAGCCGAAAAGTCCCTGAACTTTCCTCACATGACTGACGGTCGCTGGTGGCTTCAGATAATCTCAGACTATTTAGATTTTTGCAGAATCTGATCAGAGCAAAATGTGTATTTTTGCCAATTTAAAAAAAAAAAGAGAAACAGATTTTAATGAAATATCGCAGTTTTAAGCTTAAACTTGGTAAAATTCTTCCAACAGAACATCACAGGGAAGAAGTTCAGACGTTTTGGAAAAGTGAAACTCCAACGACTCGACTCTGTTTTTCCTGCTCTGCTCGTTTTAGCCAGTATGAAAGGAAGACCAGTGGTCCCTAACCACCGGGCTGCGGACCGGTACCGGACCATGGGTATTTGGTACCGGGACGCATGGAAAGAACAAAAATGGTTTATTTTGTTTCCAGCAGAGCCTGCAGGGTGTTTTATTTTGAAAAATGACGAGCTCGTCTTCCTGTAACTTCTGGCTGTGTTTGTTTGACTCCGTCGGTTTTCATGCTCGGCCGTTAAATCTGTTCTGCTGCCAGAATGAATAAAAAACAAACTTTTCTGGAGAGTTTCTGTGAAAAGAGGACGAGATGCTGAGACGGAAGAAAAAGAAAACACTTGTTTAGCAATAAAAAGTAATTTGAATCGTTTGTGACACTTTATTAATAGAAAACAAAGTTATTATTTGTTATGTGTGTAGTGACCAGTTTGTAGAAAACTAATTTGCTTGAAACCGGTTCGTTATGCAAAAAAGGTTGTAGACTTTATGAGTGACTGCTCTGACCTCTGACCCCCGGCAGGTAAATGGAGGTGCAGGACAGGAGTCGCTCTCCGTCCCGCAGGACCAGCCGGGTGGAGCAGGTGGTGGGACGATGGCTGAGGCGGTCCAGAGACTTGGGCAGCAGGTCTCACTCCCTGAGCAGGTAAACCTTCCTCATAAATAACAATAATAAATAAAACTCTCATTAACTGGTCACTGAATCAGAGATGAGTCACATCACGTCCATCAGATTGAGCTTCCTGCATGCAGTGGACGATGCTTTCTGCTGTTGGGTTTGCTTTGTATTCTACACCAACATGAGCCGGGTCGCTCGGCCCAGAGCTGCCCCGGCAGAAGTGCCGACGCTGCAGTAAGTCGCGGTTCTGAATGATCCCTCCAGAGATCGGGTTGCAGCGGACGGGAAGGCAGCAGAGTCCGGCGGCTCCGATCAGAGGAACTATCCCTTCCGCTTCAACGTCCAGATCCAGCGGGACCCGAACCTGGACTCCCACGGCCTCACGCTGTCCTCCCAGACCCCCATCCTGGTGCAGGAGGTCACCCCAGGTAGGCCGATATTTACCACATCCAACCGCAGCACGAGGAAGAGCAAAGAGAAACGACTTAGGAGGTCTGTAAACTGCAAACACCGGCGGTTATTTGCAGCTCGGCTCTGAGGAAACACTGAGTGAAGCTGCTGGTGTTTATAGATGGTTCTTCTATCCTCTGATTTGCAGCCCGTTGTCCTAAAACTAATGCAGGAAGCGGCGCAGCAGCACTCAGCCTCAGAGCTGACGCTGCACGTTTAGGTGAGTCCGGCTTTGTGTGGTCGTCCACCAGCTTCTCCTCCCGCAGAGATGCTCCTCTACCTGCCAAGAGTCGGCTCCCGTTGCCAGCAGCGTTTTAGCTGCTTCGTCAGGGTCTCCTGCTGCCGTCGGTAGCCGGTGAGCTGCTCCTGGATCAGCTGTGGATCCAGCAGCCCAGAACACAGCGTAGCGTGGTCTCTGTAGCGCCGGTATGAGTCCATGTATGACGGTGAAACCTGCAGAACAATGACGTAATGTCGCTCATCAGTGGAGGCAGTTTGAGGACTCGAGTCGTACTAATTCAAAAGCCTGATGAAAATGAGGATTTCTGTTCATCTCAGTTTAACTTCTGAAACTCGCTGGTGGGTTTGAAAGGAAACGACGGCGTTTCTCGGAGCCACAAAGTGTGAAAACAAACAGAATCGTGACGTTTTGAGCTTTCTGACGGCGCTTGAGCTACTCATCTGTGATTCAACTTTATTCTATTTAGATTTATTTATTATTTATAAACAGTATAAATTGTGTAGATGGAATATGATGGAAACATCTCCAAATCTAAGAGTAAAATTGAGATATTTCATTAAAAAAATAAAATAAAAATCATTTTATTCTACATGTACCATTAAAATTTTTGCCAAAAATGTTCAGAGTAACGAAAAAATAATAAAATTCGATTTAAAAAAAAAGCCGTTACTAAGTCAGCTGTAACCAAAAGTCGCATAAGACAATTTCTGAGATGTTTAAGGGGAACTGGGTTGAACTGCAGCCAGTGTAATATCTTTAGTATGTAGAGTCACAGCTTTCTGTACAGTCTTGGTCACACCTGGTGGCACTTTTTACATTTTTTTGTAAAATAAATAACCATCTTTTTTATGATTTACGACCTTATTACTGTGTCACTCTGCACAGAGCACACGTCTGATGTCTCTCTCCTTCTAGTCCTGGTTCTGTTTCCATCGACGTGCTGGACTTTATGTTGCAGTAAGAAACGAGCAAAAACATCCAGAAACGGCTCGGAGAGTTAAATCTGCTGCTGACACTTTCTTGGACTCGTTCGCCCTGATTTGAGGCTCCCAGGATCACCTCCAGCTGCGTGTACATCCCACCTCCTGTTAAACCTCAGCTCCTGACCTTAGTCGCATCCATCCGTTGCGTAACAGGAAGCGCATTAGGCGTCTGACTGGAAGAGCTTCTCTGGGAACGAGCGGCCTGGGAGGAGCTGCTGCATGAGAGCCTCAATCACGGGCTAAAAAGTCCATCTTCCCCGAATCCTTCGAGATTTGTGTTACATGCTCATTATTGTGAGCAACGCTTCCCGCCAACACACACAAACACGGGCACGCATGCAGACACACAACATTAGTGCCACGGTTTCCTCTGCTAATGCAATTTTGCGCGCATGTATGCAGCATCAGCGCGGTATCGGGCTCCCTTTGGAGGTTTGTCAGTTTGTTTTGTTCGCCGGCCGCAGGCCTGCAGCGGTCTGGCTCGGCTCCACGCCTTGGTTTGCTGAGGAGACTTTGCTTTATGCTAAATAAGTGCATTGCTCTGGAGACAACAGCGAGGAGAGGCCGAGAAAAAAAATAAAAAAAAGATGTTCTGTTCCTGAAAGAATGGAGGATGCAGCATTTTCCCTCCCAACACTTACAGAGCATAGACGGGACGGTGCGTTAAACTCTGCACAGTTCAGTCCTGAAAGGAACAACGATATATTTATTCAGCTTAACCCGCTGAAGCCCACGGCTGGTTCTGGGCAGTTTTTACTCATTTGTCACTGCAGTATAAAGTCCAGCACCTCTGTGGAAACACAACAACCAGGACGAGAAGGAGAGAATCAGACATGTGGTCTGTGCAGCGTTGCACACTTACAATGACAGAAATGGTAAAAACGTATAGTCTAGCAGTATTTACTATCCTTGTGTTGTTCTGTTTGTCTTATTGATGTTGTGTATATCGTGTGTAGACCTCCACTCTTGAATATATAGTTGTATTTCTTCTTTTTCTTACTGTCACTTTGCTGCTGTGACGTCGCAGATTTCCCTTTGTGAGACTAATGAAGGATGTTCTTTGCAGTGTTCAGTGCAACCGTAAAGTCACATGACGCAAAACAAGGGACGTCTTGGCTGAACTGCAGGAAGTGTTCACGCTGAGCCGAGAGCAGATTTAAAACGATCTGCAATAGTAGCAGTAGATTCATCATATTTTCTCCAGTGCTGGTAAAACCTGAAGGGATCTGGAAAAGTATCGGACATGTTCAGTGAAGGTTATTTCAGTTTTGTGAATTTTAATGGGGTTTTTTTTGTAGTCATTTATGCTATTATAACTCTCAAGACAAGTTTTTGTGCTTCCAGCCATCGTTGTGTTGTTTCCATAGAGGTTACAGGAGTTTATATGAAAACAGCCACCAGTGAGTAAACATGTGGAGGTTTACAGGGTTTATCTACTGAAGCTAATCAGACCAACAAGGCATCAATCAATGTGCCTGATACTGAACACTGTGAAGCAGAAGGCGAATACGAGTGTTAGAGAATACAGTGACTTTCAGAAACACAGATTTCTAAAACTAAAAAGCCACTTCCCTATAAATAAATCCTTAGAAAGCGGACCGTGTGTTCTGCTCGGCCTTTGTTTGTCCTGAGAGGTGCAGTTTGAAGCTCATGGATCCGAATCCTCCCGAGGTCTGAGGCCAGATTACCTCCTTCTCCTGTCTGGCTGTAGTCTGTAGTCACCATCTGTTTCTGGCTGTGTGGCACACACACACACACACACAC